GGTTGCCTTTGTGGCCACCTGGGCACACGCTGGCTCATCTCCAGCTGTCTGTCCCCCAGCACCCCCAGGGCCTTTTTCACCCTCTAACATTTCACAAGATGGGGAAACTCCTCACCATGGGCAGAACACCAGGAGAGGAAGCACCTGCCCAGCCCCACCAGCACGGCAGTGGTGGCCAAATCCTTCCCCTCATGGCAGGAGACCTCTCCCCAGAGCAGCACCACCCTCAGGAAACCTGCCCATCATCACCAGCAACCCCTCTGCAGGCGGTCTGGAGAGCACAAGGCTGTGCCAGGGGTTTAGATTAATAATTTCTTTATTCATGTAAAACAAACGCAAGTATTTATATAAACACTGACATTACAAAGTACTGGAGCAGGTAGGGGCAGGAAGGAGGAAACAAAAAAACCTCTACGGATGCTTCTAATACTGTCCCACACAAGATCAAATGCTCTGTCCCTTGGATAATCACGTATACGATAAACCACTTTCAAGTCACAAATAAAAGTCTTTGTTTTGGGATACGTCGCGCTCTGAGGGGCAACGAGGAAGGGGGCGTAGAATGTTTTTGGCAGATCTCCTCATAAAGTCAAGATATTGCTGCACTGTTAATAAAAAATATATGCTTCTCTGTAAAGCATTAAAAAAAATATCCCATGGATGGCATCGTGGAGGCTTCATGGAGAGGGAGGTGTCCCAAAAATGCACTGGTGTCTTCTCCAGGCTCTTCCCAGGGGCTATTTCTTGGTGGTTTTGCGGATCAGTGCCATCCTCTGGAAGGAGAAAGAGCAGGACGTGGGAAATCAAGTGCCTCAGACAGGGTTAGTGCAGAACAACCCGTCCCTGTGCAGGAACCAAGTGTTTCCAGTTCTCCCAGGGCACTGCCTGACTCGTTTCTGCACAGGTATTTCAAGTCTGTTTGAATCTTAATGGGGTCCCAAACTGGAGCCAGAGGAGAAACTTTTTTGGTGTGAGGGTGCAGAGCCTGGAGCAGCTGCCCAGAGAGGCTGTGGAGTCTCCTGCTCTGGAGAGATCCCAAACCTGCCTGGCTGTGACCCTGGGCACCCTGCTGTGGGTGAGCTGCTGGAGCAGGGGGTTGGATGAGATGATCCCCAGAGGTCCCTCCCAACCCCACCATGCTGGAGTTCTGGGAGAAGAAAGTCCCTGTGCTCCTCTCCTCAACACAGGGCTGGCAAGTGAAACCCCAACACCAGTGAGGGGCACTGGGATTGAACAGTGCATGGATCCCAGACTGGGTTGGGTCAAAGGGACCTTTCAAGGTCACCTGGTCCAACCCCCCTGCAGGGACAGGGACATCCCCAGCTAGAGCAGGGTGCTCAGAGCCCCGGCCAACCTCCCCTGGGATGGTTCCAGGGATGGGGCAGTGACCACCTCTCTGGGCAGCCTGGGCCAGGGGCTCACCACCCTCAGCAGCAACAATATCTTCTCTAGTCTAAATCTCTCATTTTGAATTTCAAATGAGAATTTCACCCCTTGTCCTGTCCCAACAGGCCCTGCTCAAGTCTGTCCCCATCTTTTAATAGGCTCCTTGATAGGCCACATACACACAAGGAGACTCTGGCAGTTATTTCAAGTCCAAACCACTGGCAGGAGGCTCCCATTCACACCCTGCTAGCAGGCCAAGACCACACCAGGTTAGCAGTCCAAGACCACCCTCCCCATATGAGGCTTCTACCAGGCCAATGTTCCTGAGGGTCCTTACCTGTTTGTGAGCTTCTGTAGTGCAGGCTTTTTTGTAGGGCCTGATTTCTTCAGAACCAAAGCCCGGGATCCACATGTTCCACTGGCGCTCTGGAAGGGAGAGGAGAGCCCAGGTCAGTGTGCTCAGCCCCCACCACCCACCCCAAGCACCCCCTCAGCAGCACCACCAGCAGCAGCAGCACAGCCTGGAGCCTCCGACCCGCCCACCAGCTAGCAAAGCTCCAGGAAAACAGAGCAGCTGGAGGAGCCCATGGCATTAAACGTGGTAAAGATGCCATCCCCATGCTGGGGACCTTCCCCCACAGGCTACCAAGAGGAAAACATCACCCACCAAGATGCAGCTGCACGTCCTTGACCTCCAGGGTGTTGGACTTGCGGTGCCGGGCGAGCTGGCAGGCGGCCGTCACCACGCTCTCGATGAAGTCGTCGGCGATCTGCAGCAGCATCTGGGGCAGAAGCAGGACAAGAGCCAGGCCTGTCAGCACCGAGCAGCCCAAGTGATGTGGGAGGCACCAAAACAAACCCCCACAGGTCAGTATTTCAGAGGAGTTTGGTGCTGTTGCTGCTCGAAGCCCCTTTCGGCTGCTGGGATGTAGAAGCAGACACGGAGTGCAGCAAAGCTGAGAATCCAGAGGTGGAGGAACCAGCCCTCCCCTCACCCTGGACAAAGGAGCTCTAGCCTGTGAAAAATCCCAGCTCAGCTCCTTCTGCAGCCCCTGCCAGGGGTTGGTACCTACTTCCTCCACGTCTTCATCCAGCTGCTCGTTGGGATCCACCTCACGCACCAGGTCCTGCAGTTTCTTCTTGGTTAAAACCTGAGCGTGTGGGAGAAGGGGAACCAGTCACTGCCCTGCCTGGGCTTTGGCAGCTGTCCCTGCAGCCCAGCCACAACACACCTCCTCCCCCCAGGCCCCAGGCCCTCTGTTGACACAGCCCAGCAGCTCAGGACTGGCAGAGATAAGAATTATCAGGTGTTGAGGAGTCGTTTTCAAGCCCCAGTGGTCGCTCTGAACGGAAAGTGGAATGCAGCAGGTCAGGGTGAAGGAGTCTCCTGAGCTAACAGGGCACTGGCTGAAGTGAGGCTGCTGGGAGGAGGGGACAAAGGCAGAACTAGAGGTTTTAAGAGGCAGACAAGAAGTGCAGCGTGTCAGTGACTGAGTTTGTGCTCAGGGCACAGAGGAAGAATTCCCTGGCTCACTTCTCAGCGAGATGAATTTCACCACTGCTGAGCCACAGCAGGACACAGGTAAGGGTATGAGGGATGATCAGGGGCAGCCTGGACAGGTGAGTGAGACACGTGTGGGGAATTCAGAGAATCATGGACTGATTTGGGTGGGAAGGGACCTTTAAGGTCATCTGGTCCAACCCCCTGCAGGGAGCAGGGACATCCCCAGCTAGAGCAGGGTGCTCAGAGCCCCGGCCAACCTCCCCTGGGATGGTTCCAGGGATGGGGCAGCGACCCCCTCTCTGGGCAGCCTGGGCCAGGGGCTCACCACCCTCAGCAGCAACAACTTCTTCCTTCTCTCCAGTCTAAATCTCCCTCTTTGAATTTCAAACAATCCCCCCTTGTCCTGTCTCCACAGGCCCTGCTCAGAAGTCTGTCCCCAGCTTTCTTAGAGGTCCTGTGTTCCTGCCCTTCCTGGTCCCCTTACAGCAAGGGTGGAGCTGCTGTGTCTGTGCCCAGAGCACTGCCCAGAGCCAGCAGGGCACGTTCTGGAGAGCTCACCGGGAGGGAAGGAATCCACAAAATCACTGACTCATTCTAACTCATGCTGTAACAGACTCGAAGTTTTTGCCAGCGGTTTAAGACAGGAGAGGAATGAAGCTCTGGGCAGCTCTGAGCAGCTCCCCCTGGCTCCCAAAATCAGCATTACCTGGTTGCTCTCGGGGCTGAGCCGTCCCCCTCCACTGGGTGTCCCGGGCATCTTGGCCACGGCGGCGCTGTTGGCCATGGAGCTCTGGGGGGGAGTGCTGGCTGGCTCCGGCTTGATCGAGGAGAAGTTGGAGAGGTTGATCAAGGTAGAAGGGCCAAACTGGTTCATAATCTGTTGGGCTTTAGCTTTTAGATCATAAAGCTTCTCTAGGTCCTGCTGCTTCTTGGGGTTGTGGGGACCCAAACCAATCAACTGGGGAAGGAAATGAAAATCACAGTTAGTGAAGGGAAGGGATTTGACAGTGATGGAGTCTTTGTAATCCACAGGGTCCAGGGGGGCCCAGGGGTTTGTAATGGATCCAGTCCCTCCGGGTGCAGCCAGAAGGAAGGAGGAATGGTTAGAAGATGAGGAGACCTTGGCTGGTGTGTGGAACATGAAGGGCAGCATGGGGAGCACAGCTACATGAGGCAGTGGCTCTGCAGCAGCTCCACCCTGCCCGCTCCTCGGGCTGAGCCCCCCTCAGCCTTCCCTTGGGGCCCTTCTGAACCCACTTCACAGACACGTGGGGTCACCAAGGCTGCAAAAGGCCTCTAAGAGAGAAACTCTGCCTAACATCCAGCTGAAACCTCCCCTGGTGCAACCTCAGCCCTTTTCCTCACCCTATTGCTGGTTCCTTGGGAGAAGAGACCAACCCCCACCTCACAACCTCCTCTCAGGGAGCTGTAGAGAGCAAGAAGGTCTCCCCTGAACCTCCTCTTCTCCAAATTAACCACCCTCAGGTCCCTCAGACCCTCCTCATAACACGTTCCCCAGACCCCTCAACAGCTTCGTTGCCCTTCTCTGGACCTGCTCCAGCCCCTCAATGTCTTTATCCCATGGTGCCCAAAACTGAGCCCAGGACTCGAGCTGTGGCCCCTCCAGTGCCAAGTCCAGGGGCACGATCCCTTCCCTGCTGCCAGTGCAAAGACTACTTCTGACCCAGGCCAGGATGCTTTCCCTTGGACTGCAAAGAGCTGTGAGGAAGAGACCATGCAAAGAAGGTTTAGCTGAAGGCCCCAGCTCGTTCCTGCAGCAGCAACACAGGGGAGAGGCAGGGCCAGGGCTCCTGGAGTCACCAGGAACAACTCTGTACAGCCACACTCCCAAGAAGACAGGGCTCAGGATCCCCTGGGGCTCTCCTGCAGGGTGGAGGTCTCACGTTTGGCAACACTCCCCTCCAAGCCTGGCCTGCAGCAATCCCTTGGCGTGGGTTTGACAACAGGGGGTTTGTTTTCAGTGCTGGGAGCACAGCTCTGAGAACTGGAGGGCAAGGTGCTGGAGAAACGCCCCCACACACGCCTCCATTTGTCCTTCCCACTCCGGGCACCCGACAGCCACAGGGAACAGTGTCAGGTGTCCCAGGCTGTTAATGGTGAACCAGGGCTGGTTTGCAGTGGTTTAACTGGTTACTGAGATCTCCCAGGTTCACCCTTCTGCACCCAAAGTGACCCAGGTCAGCCAGCACCGCGCTGACGCAGCTGCACGGTCAGGGCTGGAGGGCTCTGAACCCCCCCTGGCCTGGTGAAACTTTGCCCTGGCTGCTCCAAACCCTGCACCTTCCACCCCTACAAGCACCATGGGCAGCAGGGACACGTGCACAGAGCGCTGAGGGAATGGTCTGGTGGGAAAGCAGCTGCTGGTGGGCTGGGCGGCGGGCGAGACGCAGCCCCAAGAGCAAGGCAGGTAGGAGAGTTTCTTTAAACAGCTTTCCAAGCTCACACACAGAGCACCTGCTGCCCGGGCTGCAAACAGATGTTTTCTCCTCATCAGAGCAAGCTTTGTTAGTGGGGGTTAACTCACACCAAACCAGACCTCAGGCAGGAGCAGTGGGCAGGGGCAGGTTTAGTGCCTCGTCCCACAGCAGGCAGCAGCCACCCGCATCGGCTCCTTCCAGAAAGCTTCCACCCAAGACACACTTCCAGAGGGCCCTCAGCAAGCTTCTAGCTCCATTTTAATCAAGTTAACATGGGGAAAAAACATTCCACTTGCCCCCCCTGAGCCCCTCAGTTGGAATTTCTGGATAAGGAGCTCAGCACAAGATCGAGAGGGACTTCAGAGTCTCGGGTGCTCACCCCACACCTCACTGCCAGACCCACAAACCAGGAATTCTCACCCGCCATGCAGGGCAGAAAGCTCCAAACCCCCTCAACAGAAAACACTTCACGAGCATAAAATCCTTTGGTTCTTTACATCTGGATCTTATCTCACCCTTCAGTTAAGATCCCTGAACACAAAGCTGAGGGGATGCGCAGGAATCTGCCGTGGATTCCCGTGGATTCCCAGGACACATCCTGCATGCCAGCTCCAGGACAAGCCCCGGCGCTTTACTTACAGCTATCTGAGTGTCTAGATCTTTAATTACATCAGCGACTGCTGTGGGGGCAGCAAACGGAGAGGCCATTCTCCAAAACCTTCCTGGTAGGTCAGCAGGCAGCGTTAACCTGCTCCCGCCTCCTCCTCTTCCACACAGCTCCCATTCCTACAGGAACACCAGATGGTTTTGGCATCACCCTTCCTATCAGAACGGTGGGGACCGCAGCTAGTGACACTGCAACTCGTTAAGCACGGGGTGAAGGCTGTAATTAAAGCTAACCAAAACTTTGGCACCTTCCCTGGGGTGCTCCAGGGGCTCCCGCTTCCATTTGGACATAGGGATTTTCACCAAGTGTCTAAACAGGTTTGTAAAGACTGGAGGGTCCGAGCGTCTCTTTATTTAGGGAAAAAAAAAAAACGAGCAAGTTCTTAGATTTGCTTTAGTGATTATAAACGCGAGGCAGAGTCCTCCCTTACGCAGCTGGAGGAAGCGTCTGGGGCCAGCACGGATCCGGCACGGGAGCAGCTACGGCAGGAGGGATAAAAACGTCCTTTTTTCCCCGCGGATCTGATCGTTAGGAGCTGAAGCGGAGCTC